GTTCCCTATCATCAGCTTCCTACTCCCCTTCTGCCTTCTGGGCCCTGTCACTGGACTCCTGTACCTCGTTACTCTCATGGTTTTACTGGGCTGTCCACTTGCACGCTGATCAGTGAACCTCGAAGGTAACTTTACCACTGAGCTAAAAGGGTGTCTGGGGGCCATACTCTCGGGGTTTCTCCAGTCTCAGCAGTGCAAATCTTGATACTCTAGATATGGAACTGCCAACTCCATGTTTGGAGATCTTGTCACATCAAAATCTGGATATTTTTGGAGAGCACTTTAACTGATATGAATAAGACCGCCCCCAAACCATCCCCAATATCCGTCTTCTCTGCAGTCTCCTAATACCAGACCTGTTAATCATCCATCTCTCACCTGCCATCAACCTCCTCACCTACCTGAACACCTCCACCTGTTCACGTGCGCTGTGAGACGTCATTCCAGTTTCTGCTTTTAGCCTAATCTCCTTTCTGAATGTCGGCAGAAGTGTTCTCGGCTCTCCAGTTTTCTTTATCACCATTGCAATCTATTCTGCCTGCAACCACTGATTCATTCTGCACTGGACTTGCTTTCTCTGGCCATGTCCCTGTTCAAGAATGTGCAGTGGCTTCCTTCGTATTATGTCAGGCCCAACCCCTTCCCTGCCATCAGAGCTGCCCTTCCCAGCCTGCCCTACTCTCCCTTCCTCCACTCTGTGAACTGGGCTCTGCTGGCCTCCTGGTCATTTCCAGCCCTGGGCCTTTGCTCCTTCTGTACGTCATGCCTAGAGAGACTTCCTCAGCCCCTATCCCCTCTCCACTTCACCCATGCCTGTGGACCCAGCTTCATTCCCACCTGCCCTCCAAACCCTCCTCTGACTATGCCCAAGCGCACTAATGCCAAGATCTTCTGAACCTCTCTTGGGCTGATGATCAATATTACTTTTCCAAAACTTATCCTCTAATTCAATAGTTCTCAAGCTTTTTGGTCTCAGATCCCTTTATATTCAAACATTATTGATACCAAAGAGCTTTATTTATGTGAGTTATATTTACTGATATTCACTGTAGACGAAAACAAAATTTATTTATTAATTCATTTAAATATAACAATAGTAACCCTTTCCATGTTAACCGGGCAGGACTGGTCAAGGTTTGATTCCTTTGTGCATGGGGTCACCATGAGTTGGGGGCCGCTGGATGGCAGCCAACAACAACATGTTAACATTTTTAAAAATGGGAAAGAACTGTATCTTCCAAGACAAAAAACTTAAGAAGAGTGGCGTTGCTTGCAAATTTCCTAAATGCTTGGCTTAAGGGGAGACAGCTGGCTTCACATCCACCCACCTCTGCATTGAATCTGTTGCGACAGGTTGTCTTCATAGACTTATATAAAGATAATTCAGACTCACATGGATACATAGTTGGAAACAGAGGAATATTTTAATAGACTTTTCAAATAATTGTCGATATTCTTCTTTGTCCTTGTTATTGTTGTGTGCCGCCAAGTCAACTCTGACTCTTAGCAACCCTATAGGACAGAGTAGAACTGCTCTATAGGGTTTCCTAGGCTGTAAATTAAAGCACTCAGCTGCTAACCAAAAGGTTGGAAGTTCAAACCCAACAGCCACTCAGCGGGAGAAGGATGTGGCAGTCTGCTTCCGTAAAGATTTACAGCCTTGGAAACCCTATGGGGCAGTTCTACTCTGTCTGTAGGGTCATTATGAGTTGGAATTGACTTGACGGCAGTGGGTTTAATCTTTAGGGGAGCAGATCGCCAGCTCTTTCTCCTGTGGAGCCGCTGGTGTCTTCAAACCCCAGAACGTCTGGTTAGCAGCTGAGTGCTTAGCCACTGCACCACCAGGGCTCTTTCTTTGTTATTTCACTGGAATTTGACAAGCATGTAGACTCCTTTGATTTTATTAAACCGGCCACATGTAGTTTTGCTTCCAAATTGAGTTGGTTATGTTTCAGGTATGAATTTAAACACTCAGTTCATCTATTAGCTGATGGCAGGCTCCCATACTTTTGTGGTAAGAGCGTTAGATAAAGGGCAACCAGAAGTTTTTCTTCTGAATGTTGTTGACTGTAAAGATGAGATTGCTGGGATTGCTTGCCTGATTGATTTGACTGATGTGGCAATTAAAGTCCCCTCCTGAATTCCGAGGGAAGAGGAGCCTTCTGGCAAGAGCATCAATAGCCTTAGGCCCCTGCCTGGTACAATTTCTAAAGAGGATTTTGTAACACTTCTGGAGGAAATACAATTCAGAGAAAAAGCCACCCTCAAACTTGCCATCTCAGCAGAAACCACCCTATATTTTTATACAACTACATATCCATAATAGGAGTCCTGGTGGTGCAGTGGTTAAGCACTTACCTGCTAACTAAAAGGCTGGCAGCTCGAATCTACCACCTGCTCCTTGGAAACCCCATGGGGCAGTTCTACTCTGTTCTGTAGGGTCACTTTGAGTTGGAATCGACTCAACAGCAATGAGTTTGATTTTTTTTATATATCCATAATATACATTATAGTTTTATACTGTTTGCATTTATGACTACCTTGTAAACCATTTCTGGATATTACATAGTTCCTCAAAATATATTTTCCTCCAGAATGTTTTTAATGGTGGCATTATTTTTAATGAAATCATTAAGTGGATGGGAGTTCCTAGGTGGTGCAAATGGTAACACACTCAGCTGCTAACCGAAAAGTTTAGAGGGTCGAATCCAGCACAGGGGCCTTGGAAGAAAGGCCTGGTGACCTACTTCTGAAAAATTAGCCCTTGAAAACCCTGTGGAGCACAGTTCTACTCTGACACACATGGGGGCGCCATAAGTCAGGGTTGACTTGCCGGCAACTGGTTTTCTATTAAGTGGATAGAGCAAATGGTTAAGAAATGGAGATTTCATTTTTTTTTTGTAAAGTCTGCGTTCAAAATTCAGGGTAGCAATAATCTCTGAGAGGAAAGGAATGGGATGGGCCTGGAACTGAATGTGGGTATATGGAGTTCATTATGGAGTTCTCTCCACTTCTGTGTGTTTGAAATTTTCCATAGTAAAAAGTTTTAAATTTTTAATTTTGTCAGACATTAATATGCTTTTTTATGGGGGGGGGGTGGATAACATTTGTGTGGATGTCTTATCTCTTTGGTAAGTGTGGGCTCTTAGATGGTCTAAAAAATATCCAGCATGATCATCTCTGTCTTTTAGTAGGTAACCTTAATCCATTTCCATTTATTGTGGTTACTGATTTACTGGCCTTTTGATTTACTGTTACCTTTGTTTTTTTTCCTCCCCTTATCTCCCTTTTCATAATACCTGCCAACCCTTCCCGCCAACTCCCCCTCCTTGGTTTGAAAGCTACAGATTATGGCTGCCATATGGATACCCTATGGTTACCCTGCAGTCCATATCTCAAGATACATATGTAATTGTAAAATTTCCTCATAAAATCTGCTGCTAGTTTAGTTACTGTCCTTTTTTCCTGATAGCCTCCAAGGTTTTGTCTTTGTTTTATAGTTTCACTACAGTGTGTTTAAGTATGGATTTGTTTTTAATTACTTTTATTAAATGTTGAATAGCTATAGTGGAATTTTTATAAAATAAGTGTAAGGTATAAAGAATAGTGTAGCAAACACCAAGTGCTCTTCACCCACTGTAAGATAAAAGGCGATTATGGTGTTCTTTGGAGCACTGGTGGCGCAGTGGTTAAGAGCTCGACGGCTGATTAAAAGCTCAGCAGTTGGAATCCACCAGCCACTCCTTGGAAACCCTGTAGGGCCGTTCTATTCTGTCCTGTAGGGTCGCTACGAGTCAGAATAGACTCAACAGCAACCGGTTTGGTTTATGGTGTTCTTGGAGCCTTGGTTACACAATGGTTAGAGCGCTCAGCTGCAAAACGTAAGGTCAGTGGTTCAAAACTAGCAGTGGCTCCTCGGGAGAAAGACGTGGCAGTCTGCTTCCGTAACTTTGTCACATGGGGTTGCTATGGGTTGGAATCCATTCAATGGCACCTAACAACAACAACGTATTGTTTCCTGATTCTGAAATGAATTCATTTTTGTTCTTTTTGTAGACCACACTTTATCCACTCTATTATTTGTTTATTGTTGTAAAAATATGTATAACACAGAAATTACCAATTTGGCATTTTTCAGGTGTACAGTTTAGTGATATCAATTACATTAATCATGTCTACTATTAATAAATCTTTGGATAAATTATTTTTCTATATTAAAAATTTTTCTTTTAAAAGTATCAGCCCAAGAGACAGAAAGGGCCACATAAACCAGAGACTGCATCAGCCTGAGACCAGAAGAACTAGATGGTGCCCGGCTACCACCA